AGTGAGAGAGAGAGAGAGAGGGAGAGGGAGAGGGAGAGACGGGCGCACGACGAATGCGCGGGAGCAACCCACGCAGACACTATCGCGTCGCAAACAAAAATCAGGACGGGAGGTTTTGTGGACCGTTTTCGGCCTCGGGGGGTCCTCGCCGGGCCCCAGGACCGTCTCAAAACGACAGACGATGAAAAACTGGTCCCAGGGAAAGGGTCGGGACTTCCAGTGCCCCCGTATGGAAAGACACAGGACGTCGCGTATCTGGGTATCCACGATGTCTCTCGACGTCAGGGCGCCTCGGCGACGCAGGCACAAATTCGGACATCTCTTGCATGACGGGCCCGTCAGGCGACTGCCCTGCGGGGGGGCACTCGGGAGCCTGGCGCGAGGGAGGAGCTGGGCGACCCAAGAATCCGGGGCCTTCTTGTCGGCGGCCAGCCCGAGGGGGGAAGTGAGAGGGGCCGGGCCTTCCCAGAATGCTCGGGAGCCCCCCCCCCGGACCCTCTGAGCAGTGTTCTCGAAGCCTGCCCCCCGGAGACGCAGAAAATACTGCTCAGAAGGCGCGAGGGGGGGCTTCTGAGAAGCCCCGCCGCCTTCTGAGGAGGCCTTCTTCTGCTCAGTTCCCCCCCTCGCTCGCTGCCGATTATTCTCCGCCCTGCCCCGGCGGGGCCCGACAAGGGCAGCGTGGTGCCTCCCCCCCCGAGCCCCAGCGGCGCAGATCGCAAAAAAACGTGCCCCGGCGTAGAATCGCACCCTTTGCCGTCGCCGAGCCTCCTCCCTCTCCCAATACAGGCGGACCTGGGCCAGAAGAACACTCTTCAAGAACATGAGACCGTCCGTCGGCCAAAACAAACAGAACATCCAAGGGTACCCTCCTCAAGATACACAAGAACATCCAACAAACACGAAGAAAACTAGGGCACCCTCCCGGAACCGGCCTCAATCTTATACCTCGGTCCGAATGCACGATGAAGGCATCGGAGAAGGAGCCATTGGATAAGGGACCCAGGGGCTGAAAGCCGGTGGAACTCCAACTGTGGATTCGCCGCGGAGATCGCCGCCGCCCACATCGGGTCAGGAACCCTCCGGGGTCTGAAGCCTCCCGGGCACATGCCCTGACACACGCCCCCGCCGTACAACCAATGAGGATATCGAGCCTGTGCTTGGGGTAGCTCGCTTTCTCGTGCGCGCTGGGTTAGCTTTCGGTGGCCACGTCGCCTCTGGCTTGTCAGCACCTCCTTCCTCCTGCCAGCACGCGCGCGCAGGAGCACCTCCCTGCTGCCAGCAGGCGCGCGCAGTAGCAAGTCAGGGAGGGGCAAGGAAAGTACTGCCTGACTGCGCCACTGCACTTCGAGTAGCCGGCTCCGTACACCAGAGAAGTCGGTCCCAGCTCTCCCTCTCGCGATCCACCTAGATCTGGGCCTTGCATTTTTTCACAGCGGGCACTTTCGGTGGGCTTCGGGCCCCGGGGCCATCACAGATTGGTCGACGCGTGTCAGAGCGGATCTGGCATTCCCAAAGAGGACCTTCGCTGTCGCGATACGCAACACGCAACACCTAGCGTGTTGACGCTGAGCTCGACACGTGGACTGAGCACGCGGGCCTGGCGCGAAACTACCGCCAAAACGTGGGCCAACACGAGCCGAACCATCACGCAGCGTGAAAGCACACACGTTTTGCACACGGCACGAGGGGTACATCGGGGCAGCGGAGAAGAGGACCCCAGGAGGAGGGTGAGCGGGCTGTAGGGGAGCAGCGGGGGAGGTGGGGGGATGGGGAAAGCCGCCGTGGGTGGGGGAAGGGCAGAGCGGGCGGTGGGGAAGAGCAGAGAAGGAAAACACGAACGAGGATGGAGAGTGGACGATGAGAGGAGAAGCGGATGTTGTGATCGCGATGGTGCGGATGAGGAGGAGGAGGAGGAGGAGGAGGAGAAAGAGAAGGAGGAGAAGGGGGGAAGAAGAGGAGGAATGGATGAGGTAGAACGCGAGAGAGGATGGTGTGCGTGGTGGGTGGGAAGGAGGACGACGACGAGGAGGAGGAGGAGGAGGACATTATGATGTTGATGATGCTGAGGGTGCAGAAGAAAAGCGGTGTCTAGGGTCCAAAGCTCCTGTCGTGCTGTTTCGCGGTGTCGCATTGTTGCGCGACGCGGGATCTCAGGGTCTCTCGATGTCTTGTCTGCAAATCGTGGGGGACCTCGTGTGCGGCCCCCGCCACCCACTGGCCTCGTTGGCTAAATATTTATGGCGGGGCCCCCGCGATGTTCTGCTGGCCCCCCAGGCAAGCGGCATGCTCCATGCTCCGCATTCCTCCTCCTGCTGCTGCTCCTCCTTCATCGACGACTTTGGCCTGGAGAGTAACGAATTCGGAGAGGAGGGCGATTCTCTGAATGCGACCCCTAGTCATGCAATGTCGTATTCGTTCAGAATGGAACAGAGGCTCAGTGTATACCGAGCTCCAGACACGCAGCATCAGCATGACACTCATGAGCAGCACAAGTATATCCATCACTGCCACCAACATTCATAACATCGTGACTAACGCGAGATCACTTGGGAACAACTGGAGCCCAAGGCGGTCATGATTGGATACTATTACTATGATGCAGTGATGTCTTGCCGCCACGTTGTGGCCGTCGAAGGCACGCTGGCCTAAGATCTGCTGCCGTATTTGATCCTCTAGCGCATTCAAGCTATAGGTGATCATATGGCACAAACAGTTTCGATATCGTCCCTAACGTAGCACGCACATGTCGAGCTCGCCCAGAGGGGAGCGGGGGAGCTATCTATACTACCAGCGTGCCATCATCTCGTCCTTCTCGTTCATCTCCTCCTCCTGCGACTAGCTTCGCATCGCATTGCTAATCGTGCTGCTGCTATGGCTGATGCTGCTGATCACCTTCCCCGCTCTGCATATCGTCTGGGCCTTCTGATCTTATGCCCTCATGGGCTCTCTCCTGGTCAATGACACTGGGGCCCAGCGGGCGGCCATCTTGGGAGCTGCGTGGAAGGCGGCGTACGCTCGAACAGTCAGTCACCCTGGCGGGCATACTCTCTCACACAAGAGACCTTGCAAAGAGAGAACCAATCATGAAAGAACGTTCAACCATATTACGCGGGGCAAAACGGGGTGAGTCTGGACTCCCCCAACGGAGTACCAGGCCAAGACTGAATCCAACCTCCCAGGAGTTGCAACCCAAGGGGAAGGAAGGGGGATGGAGCGGGCCACGGCAAGGTCAGCCGCTGAGCGGGCGGCGTGGGACAAGTCCGCCAGGAAGGTGCTCGACTCGCCAGACAGTCGCAGCATCGCGCCGCTCCGGGGCGCGCGTGCGAGGGGGAACGCCTGGACCCACAGTACAGCTGGCACTGGCTGCAGAAGACACCCGAGAAGACACACGTCTCTTCCGATGGCCGACTTGAAGGGGGCAAGAGCCGTGATAGACAGGGCACAAGGGCACCCTTGATGTTGCAAGGTCGACCTGCTAACCAGAACCGACTGCACCAACTGACCACCGCACCGACTTTGATCTACAGTGGAAGCAGACGCCGCTCAAGGGGCCAGTGGGTTAGATGCTGTGCGGTGCGGGAATGGGGGAAGAAAATCAACATAAACATAAACTTTCGGAAGTCCTCGCGGATTTCTTGGATCCGCTCTGGACCCCCCTCCCTGACGCGCGGAGCGCGCTGAGGGCGGCGCCGGAGACGCCGCATGGGGGCTCAGCGCCGATCCAGGAAATCCGAGTGGAGCTCTGAATGTTTTTGCTTATGCTGTATGTTTTCTTCTTGGAGGGATAGAGACCTCCCGTATGGGGTCGGAGTGGATGGGGTCGGAGGATTGCGCCGCATCGCCGATGCATCGTCCATACACTGGCGAAGTCGGCGATGCGTCGGCGACGTCGGCGTGGAGAACATCGGGCTCCAAATCGAGCCGCATCGCCGATGCATCCGCGAAGCGGCGCCATTTCCCGACCACATCTACTCGGACCCCATCTGAGAGGTCTAGAAGGGAGGCCCCCGACCTCTCGACCGCCTCCACGGGATCGGTTTTGCGTCCCGAGCCGTCTTTGTGGACGGCCCCGAGGCCCGGGAAGGGCCCCGAGAAGCCGAAAACGATGCAAGACCTCTGTCTCGTTTTTTTGAAAACGCCCGCTATCGGGGATGGACAGACCCCCCTTTAGTAAGACGTGGTTTAGTGGAAACGACCTGAGGCCCAAACCTGGCGGGCGCAAGCCTGGAAAATAACGGCCACGGCGCCATCTCGAGAACCGAAAACGGACAAATCACTAATCGACGTGTCACTGCTGGGGGTTCTGTCCACCCCCGACGCTATTTGGGCTGGACAGCCTACACCGCCCCGAGCATCCAACCACCGGTGTGGAGACCCGGGTGTGGGTGGCTGCCTCCCTGGGGGGGGCGCTCGAGCCTGGGCCGACCGGGCAGGCCTACATTTATCGTGGTCTGGTGAGCTGGCAGCAACGTGCTGGCCCACGGGGGGAAGGAGGAGGAGGATGAGAAGGAGGAGGAGGAGGGGGAGGAGGACGAGGAGAAAGAGGAGGAGGATGAGGAGGAGGAGAAGGAGGAGAAGGAGGAGGGGGAGGGGGATGAGCAGCAGCAGCAGCAAAAGTACGAGAAGAGGGATGAGCGACCCTATATTTTGGAGGAGGACGAGGGGGGAGGAGGAGGAGAACCAGCAGCAGCAATAGTAGTACGAGAAGAGGGAGGAGCGAACCCACCTTTTCCTGCACCGCGACGACAGTGGCGATAGCGTGAGGGGTGGTGCAACCAATGCAGTCGAAACACAGGCGGTCGGTAAGCAACAATCCTACCGTCAGACAGTTCTCGCCCGTTCCATCAGGTTCGCCCAAGAGGAGGGGGCGAACCTATATCAACTATGCCTCCTGCCACGCCAGAGCCGCCAGTGCGGCCTGCCGTCGGGCGAGCTCGGGTCCTTTCCTGTTCTGCCCTGCTTGTCCGCTCCTCTCTCTCTCTCTCGCGCTGCTTGTGCCTCTGGTGATCGGCACGCGTGCGTTGCCATCAGCGGCGGGACCGCGGCCGCTGCCATCACCTCAGGTGATGCAACGCGTGGCCAGACGTGGCCCTATCGTGTAAAAGACAGCAGAACGGCGTACACAGAACCTTTGGGTTGCCCGCGCGGGTTTCTTGGATCGGCATTGGGTCCCCCTTGCGGCGCCTCCAGCGCCGCCCCGGGCGAGCTCTGCGCGCCCGCCAGAGAGGGAGGTCGAGGGCCGATCTAAGGACTCCGCGCGGACCTCCCTTATGTAGTTTTTCTATTTCGAACCATGTGGGCGTCCAGGAGGTGGAAAACGACGGCGTGGACCACCTCAGCGGCCATCACGATCAGTCGAAGCCCTGCCGCGCGTCAAGTGGACGGCGGGACGGCAGCGTTGTCGAAGCCCTGCCCCGCGTCGAGCGGAGCTGCTGCGCAGCTGCAGCATAATGTTCAGGACATGTTTTGTGGAGTCGGCGGGAACTGCACGCGGAATGGCATTCTCAATAAGTGAGGCATGACATCATTCTTGAACCAGTGAGAGGGGAGACGATCGTGCGCGCTGCTCATGGAAACTCAGCAGCCCCACGTGGCCATCCCACGCGGGCTATACCAAGGCCCCAGCGACGAACCTCTTCCACCAGGCGCTTCAGCTCAAAAAGGCCAGGTCGTTGTCGCCATATCCGGGGGGGTGTCACCCGACTCTTCTGGATCACCCCCGCTGGATGACGACCCAATTCCACGCAACACGCAATGCGAGTCCTGCTGCTGCTCCATCTGGCGCGAACATCCGCACGCAGAGCGTGGCGACCGCAAGTCAGGCCTTTGGGGTCTCATCTGTTCGACGCCTCCAACATTCGACGCACAAGCGAACCGCGCTGCCGGGCTGTCCCACCTGCCAGCTGACCACCGCGTTCATGAGGCCCGTCGAAGAAGCAACCGTGCCACGCGCGGTGGCGAAGGCGCCCTACATCCGGGCGTCTCCTCGTCAGGAGCGCAGGGCGCTCCGTGGGGTCAAGGGGGGCGGCCTCGTGCTGGACGTGGTACCCCTGGTCCCCCAGCGGCAATCAATGCTGGGGTCTGCTCCTCGCCGACATGATGCGCCGCCCACCGCCTCGTGACAACGGCAACACCGAAACCCGCCTGGTGGCACTCAGCAGCGCGGGAGACGAGCAGGAGACACCAGCCTCGTCCTCCGGCCGTTGCTGCTGCTGCTGCTGCTGCTGCTGCCAGCCCCTCCCCCGGACAGTTGGAAAATGTCGAGGAGAAGAGGGGCCGAGGATAATAGGGCGGCAAACGGCAAGAAGAGGGAGAAGGAGGAGGAGGAGGAGGAGGAGGAGGAGGAGCAGGAGGATCAAGCTGAGAAGGGGGGCGAGATGTCCCCCCCTCTTCCCCCATCGCCCCCACCCTTCCCCTCCCATCCTCCCCTGCCCTCATCCCTCCGTCCCTCCCCCCCCTGCCTCCTCTCCGCGTCCGCCTCCGTCCCCCCTTCCCCCTCCCCCTTCCCACCTCTCCCTTGTTTTTTCGGTGGCTCTCTCTTGGCTCCCACCAATCCATGATCGAAGGGGCTGCAAAAGGGCCCCCGAACGCCGCCGACCACCTCCGCCCCACACCTGTAGGGCGGAGCCCGAAGGCCAGGACCGCCATGCAAGCGCAGGTCAAAGGCCCAGGTGCCTGGCTACCCCCAGCCACCACCCGCAGGCAATGGCCAAAGTCCGCCGCCCGCCCACCGCATGGGGCGAACAACAATGACACATACAACAAATAAGTGATTCTGCACACGTGATCCCTGATCGGAGCCCTCTGAGATCCCGCTACCCCAGTGGGAGAAGGGATTGAAACATGACTGCACTCTTATGAAACACCCAGAAAGGCGAGCGACGCACGTGAAATAATGCCACGGTGCAGGAACCTGTGAATAGAGAAAGCAGAGCGGAGATGCAAGCGCCATGCAGGAGAAAGGATGCGGAGGATAACGACACAATAACCGCCCCTCAACTCACTCTGCAGATTTTGGCGTCTCGCGCGCAGAGCACGTGTGTGGGATGGCCTGATATACGTGCTGTGAAAATCCGCAACAGTGTAGGCATTGTGTCCGAGCAACTTGAACCTACTGGAGACCCCGATAGATTGAAACCGAAGGTACTGCTCTTCAATCGTGCGCTGGTCTTTCGCTCCGAACGTGTCCCAACGTCCTGCTGCATCGAGAACTTGCCAGACAGGTGTTGGTGGCGGCCCTGGAGCAAGAGCAGCGCCAGTGTTCAGCCAAACGCTGGCGCTGGAGACTGCAAATGGAGACAAGCAGCGGGCTTTCCACCATAGCTTGCTGGAAACTGCAGATGGAACAAGACTTTTGCCACGTGAACCGGTTGTACTCCTCGAGGGCCTCGGCGTCGACCATCGGCGGCGGCCCTCGGCCTGCAGCACCGCTCTGCACGATCGTTTCAGCAGGCTCCAATGCCCCCGCGGAGGGAGGCGACGGCAGCGGCCCAGCGCTTGCAGCATCGCTCCCAGCAGCGCTGCTGACCAGGCGGCCTGCGGCTTGCCCTTTGCTGAGGGCCCCCAGCACGATCACCTCGCACCGATTGCACCGCCTGACTGCTTCCAGCTCCGCGAGCCTCCATCCTGCAGCTAGCCCACGAACAAAAGCCTGGCCCCCGCTCTCGGCGCCGTGGGGGAAAAAGGCCTCGCTCTCGGCGCCCTCGTCCTGGTCGATCGCCTCCCAGCCTCCCGGCGCCAGCTCCAAGGCCGGCTCCCTGGGAGCCACCGGCCTCGGGAACACCACCTCGCAGGTGCAGACCTCCACGAAGCACTCGATGGCCAAAAGATTGCCGACGGGGACGGCCTGCACCCCAGCTGCCCCCAGGCGCGGCCCCTTTTGAGCCGCGGCCCATTCGCACCTCGAGTGCCCCCGCGCGCGGGCAGCGCGAAGCGTGCCGCGCGCAGTTGCGGCGGAGGCGTCCGCCGCCTGACGGGCGGACGCCGCGCACCAGCGATCGGAGAGCAGGGCGGGCGACGGCCTCGCGCCGCCGCACCCTCGTCCTCCTGGTGGGCCGCGGCGGCGCGCAGGGACTCCGGCTCGCCGCGGAGCGCGGCGATCTCGGCCTGCCGCCTCCGAACCAACTTGTCCGCAGAGGCCCGCTCGCCAGGCGAGCCTCGCAGAACTTCCCGCGCCATTGCTGGTCCAAGCGAGCTTGGACCAAGCTGGCTCGAGCCAAAATGGCTACGGACCCCCCCCTCGCCCATAGCCGCTTCAACCTCCTCTCCCCCCCTCCCCCCCTTCCCCCCTTCCCTCCCCCTTCCCCCCCTTCCCCCCCTCCTCTCCCAGTGCAGTGGTCCAGCGCCCCCGTCCCCCCACTCGCCGCACGCCCCGGACCCGTGGAGGCCCTGCAGCATGTGCACGATGTGGAGCTCAGTGTCGGGCAGGATGCTCAGCGCCTCCTCGGGTGGGGGGTGCGGGGGAGGGCGATCTGTCCGTCGGGCTTTTTGGGCTCCACGGCCCTTCTCCACCAAAGGTCTTCAGCTGGAGGCTGTGGGGGACGTCAGCTGGAGTGCCGCCCCCTGCGAGACTTCCAGCAGAGCAGGAAGACGGCCACCCCGAGCAAATCTAAGTATACCCGCGAGTTGTTCGTTCCCTCGAAGAGCCTTGGGAGATCCCTACACGAGGGAATTTGGAGTGGGACCAGTTGGATTTATCAAACGGCCTTCTCAAAACCACTGTGCAATTCGCTTTAGCTTGCGTCTCAGTCAAGGCTAGGTTCGCCATGGTGCTCCCCGAGGACCACCTCCCGTCGAGCTGGCTCAGGCGTGGGGGAGGTCACGGGGAGGCGTCCGGGCTGCGGCAGGTGCACGCCCTCGCTTGGCCATAGGGCTCTCGATGGGCTCGATCCCCCGGGGAGGCCCTGGACCGCCGCGGCCAAGAGGTGTCGACTGCCTGTGGAGTGCGTTTCGGCCGGCCCTCCCTCTTCGCCCCTCGACCGGCCCGAGGAGATATTTGACAGGATGCCGCCCCTGATGTGCCAGTTCCTCGTCCCCTTGGATCGGCGGCGAGCGAGGGGGGGAGAATGAGAAGGAGAAGGCCTTCTCAGCAGGAGGTGGGGCTTCTCGGAAGCCCCGCCGCCCTCTGAGAGGTTTTTTTGTGCGTCTTCGGGGAAGGCGTAGAAGACTTCCGAGAAGGCCAGGGGGGCTTCGGAGCCTTCTGAGAAGGCCCGCCCCTTTTTTACTTCCCCCCCCCCTCGCTCGCCGCCGATTGGACCCGTACTGCTCCAGGCGGGTCGGGAGGCCCGAGGCGCGCTAACATTTCTCTCTGTCTCTCTCTCTCTCTCTCTTTTGCGTGCATGCGCCCACCGTGGAATCATCCCAATCGGGAGCTCGAATAGAACAGGAGGAGGAGGAGTGGGAAGAGCAGGAGGAGAAAAAGGAGGAGGATGAGGAGGAGCAGGAGGAGGAGGAGGAGGACGACGAGGAGGAGAAGGAGGAGGAGATGAATGAAACGAAGGATGAACAGGAGGATGATACGAAAGAGAAGGAATTGGAGATGAAGGAGGAGGACGACGAGGACGACGACGAGGAGGAGGAGGATGCGATGGAAGAGGAGGACGGACGAAGCTTTGGGGAAGGAGGAGGGGTGGTTGGAGGGAGGTGGACAGAGGGATGGAATTTTGATGAACTAATTAGGGATGCAGGTAAGAGGAGGCCGGTGAAGAGGAGGAAGAGGGAAGATGACAAGGAAGCAGAGATGGCGGAGCGTTTGAGGAGAATGGGTGGAGCTGCTGGAGATAACGAGGCAGGAGCCGGAGGAGGAGGAGGATGGAGGAGGAGGAGGAGGAGGAGGAGGAGGAGGAGGAGGAGGAGGAGGATGGAGGGAGGAGGAGGGAGGAGGAGGAGGAGCAGGAGGAGCAGGAGGAGGAGGGTGGAGAGGAAGGGGGGCTGAGGACGGGGCGGAAGGGAGAAGGACAGGTACCGAGACCGCTGCTCCACGGACCTCTCCTGGGGCGCGCCCCGGCCAGAACTCCGAGGAGCATCCAGCCGTTGCCACGAAGGCTCTCCAGGACGAGCCGCAGTGTCGGTACCCGTGCCTTAGGTCGGGCGTGTCCCCCTATAGGCGGATTTTGGTCGAAAAATAAAAAATGCGAACAATATATACTCCCAGATGGTCCCCAAATGCTCGAAACATCGTCCCCAGGCTATATGTTTTTACCCTTTTGGGAGATTCCTCCTGTGGAGGGGTGTGCCCGACTTGACCCGGGGGAGGCGGGGGGGAACTCGCTCTGCACGGCTCTCCTCCTCCTTCCTCCTCCTCCTCCTCCTCCTCCTCCTCCTCCGCCTCCTCCTCCGCGTCCGCCTCCTCCTCCTCCTCCTCCTCCTCCTCCTCCTCCTCCTCCTCCTCCTCCTCCTACTCCGCCTCCGCCTCCTCCTCCCCGCTCCTCCTCCTCCTCCTCCTCCCTCCGCCTCCGCCTCCTCCTCCGCCTCCCTCCTCCTCTCCTCCTTCCTCCTCCTCCTCCTCCTCCTCCGCCTCCTCCTCCGCCTCCGCCTCCTCCTCCGCCTCCCTCCTCCTCCTCCTCCTTCCTCCTCCTCCTCCTCCTCCTCCTCCGCCTCCTCGTCCGCCTCCGCCTCCTCCCTGCCTCCTCCTTGGCCTCGGGGGAGGCGGACGGCGACGACCTCGGCGCTGGCGGCGCCTGCAGCAGCGAGGGCCCCCCGCACGCCGGCAGCCCCGCGGCCACCCGCAGGCGGCGCCCGCCGGGAGCGGCGGGCGGTGGCCCGGAGAAGTCGAACCTGGCTGCGGCGGCGACAACGACGGCGACGACGACGACGAAGACGACGTCGACGACGGCGACGACGACGACGAAGACGACGACGACGGCGACGGCGAGGGCGACGAAGACGGAGACGACGGCGACGGCGACGACGACGACGACGGCGACGACGACGACGACGACGAAGACGACGACGACGGCGACGGCGAGGGCGACGACGACGACGACGGGACGGGGGGGCGGGGGGCGGGCCGCTCGTCGCCCTGGGACGGGACCCAGGCGAGGAGAGGATGGGGAGGGGGGGAGGGGTGGGGGGAATGCAAGACGAAGCCGGGGGCGGGACGAAATCGGATCGAGGTAGATCGGGGATCTCCGAGACCCGACGGCTCTGGAGGATGTGTCGGACGCAGCGGCCGCTCCAGAGTGTCCTGGAGCGCTCCGAGAGCATTCTGGAACGCTCCGGTGCGATCCATCCCGATTCCAGGCCTGACTGAAAATTCCCTTCCCCTTTGATCACACGTTACGACAACAAAACCACCATCGCGAAACATCAAGACTGAAACCCTAGACTCTTGACCCCACCTAGATCTGGGTCTATTTTGGGCTGGATTGATGCGTGGTGCTCCCCGGGGGCCCGAAGCCGGGCGAAGACGCCCAATGAAAGCAACTTGCAGTGCCAGGATCTCGGGGCTTCCGGCTCCCTCCAGGCCCCGCTGCCTGTCGTCGCCCCAGCCCCCGCTCCCGGGGCACATCGAGAGCGACGGGGGCGCACGCCGGGCCGACGAAGAGGAGCTGGAAAATTGCTGGGCCGACATAGGTAGGAGGAGGAGGACGAGGAAGAGGAGGCGGACCTCCTCAGCCTCCCTTCTCCCCCGTCCTACCAACGGTAGTGGTGGTGGAAATGTGGCCCATCCAAAGCGGCTGGCTGCGAGGCAGTGCGCGCACTGCGCGTGCGGGAGGTTTGTACGCTGGGCGCGTAGAAGCTCGTAGGCGCATCCCTCCTCTCATGAGGGTGAGAGCCCGAGATGTCTGGCTGCTGCCTTGGAGGGTCCTCTGCTCGGGGGGAACCGCTCAACGATGCGCTGTCTACCAAGACTCGCAGGTTGGCCCCTTTCCAAAATCCGTGCTTCGATGCGGATCCTCAGCGCGCCTCGTCTCCGTCGGCGTCGTCGGCGTCGCCGTGGTCGTGGTCGCGGTGAGCGTTGCTCTGCTCGGGACTTGATCCGCCCAAGATGACCTGCAATGCTGCGCAAGATTGCGCGTACTGGCCAGGAATCGTCTCCAGCGTACCTCCGAGAGGCCACGACACGGCCCCGAGAGCGCCCCAAAATGGCTCGAAGAGGCCACGGAGCCCCCCAAAGAATCCCTCACGCAGGGACCACAACCACCACCCCTCTCCGTCGTCTCCTCCATCGTGCCGCCAGAGGAGGGGAAGAGGCTCAGGCCCGCACAACCGAGGTCTCACGGCCACGAGGAGGTCATATACGACAGCATGTGCGCCCCACTGGATGTGGTGGCAGCATGCACAGCAACGCGTCTTAACTGCACTGCCAGCAACGCTGTCCACGACGCCAACTGACTGGACGCTGCGCGCTACGGCTGAAACAGCATGAGGGCGCGAGTTCTGCGCTGGCAATCAGACATATCAAGTGACGTTGTGCGTTCGACACAGGAGGCGGCGCTACTGCACTTTGCAACGAGCTTGTAAGGCATATGCGCTGATGCGCCATGAGCCCTGGGCGTGCGATGAACTCACCTGTCTGCAACCACGACGACAACAATATTAGGTTACTCAATCTGAACACCCACTTGGTGTGCAAACGTTTCATGTTTTACACATACCTCCCTTTTTTCACCCCCCGATCCGGTGTTGTCCGACAGCGCTCTGCACAATCTCGAAGCCTCAGAGGCACTTCGGACAAGCGGGAACTGGTATGGCTTTTCTCAGGTTTTCACTCGATTGTGGCCTCCTGGTAGCCTCTTGGGCAGCCTCTTGGGGCAGTCTTGCACTGTCTTGGGCCGCCTGGACGCAATATGGTGCCGTCTTGGCGGCCCCGAGGGCTGCCTGGATGCTCTCTTGACCCGTCCCGGCGCTCGTTGGAAGCGTTCCTGGGGCCCATGTTCTTCCATGGAGGCCTGATGTCCCACGGTTGGGCCACTGGAGCGCCTATCACGTTTCTTTCCTAGCCATCCTGTGGTGGGTCGTCGTCGTCTTCGTGGCCGCCGCCGCCGCTGTCGCCGCCGCCGCCGCCGTCGTCGTCGTCGTCGTCGTCGTCGTCGTCGAAGTCGTCGTCGTCGTCGACGTCGACGTCGTCGTCGTCGACGTCGACGTCGACGTCGACGTCGACGTCGTCGTCGTCGTCGTCGTCGTCGTCGTCGACGTCAACGTCGTCGAAGTCGTTGTCGTCGACGTCGTCGTCGTCGTCGTCGCTCGGGGGGCCTCGCGGAGCGGACCAGCCAGGACGACCGGACCCACCGGTGCTCCCCGCCGAAGTCGGCCATCTTCACGAAGCGCGAGCCGCCCTGGGCAGAGGCGGGGGTGGGGCTCTGGCCATCGCTCGGACGTCCATTTCCTGTGTGTTTTTCGGTTTTGTGCGTGGTTGTTTCGCCAAATGATCAAGGATGCTCCTCGATGGTCCTCGCCGAAAGGAAAATGCACACGTCCGAGCGATGCCAAGGGCTTGGACGCGAGGCGGGGCTCTGACCAGATCCACCGCCAGGGAAGCCGACGTCCTGCACCCTCCAGCGGGCGGCGGATATGGTGGACATATTTTGGCCCCAAGGGCGGGGGGGGGGCGAAAATTTATCCATATCCACCGCCTGCCAGGGTCCTCGAAGATCGATCACCGAGGCGGTGGTGAATAAATTCAAGCCTCGGACTTGGAGGGAGGGCGGAGGTTCCTCTCACTGCCCAACTCACGAGCGACGATCGTAAAGGAGAGACATCGGCATGAAGATCAACTTTCGGAGGCCCGCGCAGATTTCTTGGATCGGCGCTGGAGCGCCAGGGGCGGCACCGCCATGGGGGTCCAACGCTGGTCCAAGAAATCCGCGCGGACCTCCAACAACTCATGTTTATGCTTATTTCCCTCTTCGGGAGCGTACCAATATTCATGCCCTCGCGGCCTGGATACCGACGCGCGATCCTATGAATACGCGATCACACGGATTCGCTCCGCGCGGGGCATCCGCGCAACACCGCGAGGCCGTGGACATGAATAGATGCTTTTTTACCCGAGATCTACGTTTGCTCCGGCGGCGCGCAAGAAAAAAGGGGTGGGAGGCTTTCAGACACGCGTAGCAACGTCCAGTAGGATCAAGCCGCGGAGCCCGCGGAGGGGAGTGCACCTCCACCACCCCCGAGGCCTACGCTGGCTCCGGGGGAGATGTCGCCCCGTATTCCACGATACGTTTGTCGATCGATCGGCGATGCGCACCCATGTAGCGAAACCGCCTGCTCATGGGCGGGGTGGGCTGTCGGGCCTGTCGGCGATCAGCGGGTGCTTTGGGGGTGCGATGCGACGCCCCCCGAGCCTGCCCCCCCCCCCGCCACCCAGCGTTGCCCCCGAACGCTTCCCCTAACGCTGCCCCGAAGGGGGGGGAGGGTGCGCAATATGGCCCGAGGCATGTGCGCGGACGAGCGTGGGACAGGGAGCGTGTCGAAAAAGGAAGCATAGTATTACTGATAACAAGACAAATGTAGTAATAACAAAAAACAATAAAAATAATAATAATACCAACAGTAATATTATAAGAAGATTAATAATAACAAGAAGACCATCCATGATAGTAAGAACAACAACTAATACAAATACTAATAATAATAAGAACAATATTCCCCAATCAGTGCTTGCACTGAAGGGGTCCTAGCGGAAATTGGAAGTTTTGGCGAAAACTTCCCGCCGATTTTGGTGGCAAGCGGAATTCCCGGGTTCCCGCTTCTGGGTTCTCGGGTTCCCGTTGATTGGTTCCGGGCCGATTTCGGTGCTGGGTTCTGGGTTCCGGGGCTCCCAGGTTCCCGGTCGATCTCCTCAGCGAAAACCCAGACATTCTACGTCCTGATTGTTTTCAGGACGGCGTCCCCGGAAGTCCCGACCCTTTCCCCGGGACTGGTTTCTCATCCTGAGTCGTTTTTTGACGGTCCCGAGGCCCGGCGAGGGCCCCACGAGGCCGAAAACGGCCGAAAACCTGCCGCATTGATTTTTTTACGACGCGATCACGTCTGGGAACCATCCACTGATTGGGGTACTTCTCTGGTGTGATAACAATAATAAGAAAAGGGCGCTTCGAAATCCAGGAAGGTATCATGGCCTCCACCATCATGCCCACCCCCGTAGTCATCACCCTGCTCTCGAACACATCCGACGATCCCCTCCCTGGAGGGGCAACGAATAGGGGAAACTGGCTCAGGGGGGGTGCGGGGGTTGAAACATCGACCTGGATGCGGCCGATCGATCGCCGATCGATCGGCGATGTGTTCTTTCGATCTGCGATGGGCTCTGCATAGCGGCACAGTGCGTTCCTGGGCGGGGTGGGCTAATTATCGGGCCCCTGTCGCCGATGAGTGGGCTTTGCGGGTGTCGATGCGCCCCCCCCTCCCGAGTGAGCCTGCTCCCTCCCCTGGCTTCCGGGCCATACCTCGGCTCTACGGCGGCCGCTCGGCACGCTCCGGGCACCCCCGGGGCCACGCGCTCGGCGAGGCGCGGCGGCTGGAGCGCACCCCGGGGATGGAACAGCGCCGAGAAGCGACGAACACGTCCGATACACATAGCCTCGAACCTCGATCACACCCCCGTGCGTTGCTCAGCCTCCTGCCCCCGCCTTCGCCGCTGGCCCCCGAGCGGGGGAGAGGAGCGTGGGAGAGCGCATGAGAGGAGGAAGGAGAGGAGGAGGAGGAGGAGGAGGAGGAGGAGGAGGAGGAGAAGTTGATGAAGAGGAGGAGGAGGAAGACGAGGAGGATAAGGATGAGGACGAGAAGGAGGATGAGGATGAGGAGGCCGAGGAGGAGGAGGAATAATAATAATAACAAGAAGAAAAAGAAGACGACGTGCCCCTAGATCCGACGCAGCGAAAACATGTAACATCGCGAAAGTCACGACCACAGCCATAGACCCCATCCTTCTGCTACACATTTCGAGCCAAACCGATCTGTGAAGGCACCGGGGCCCGAAACCCAGCCAACACGCCCGCTGTGGAAAGTTGCAACGCCGGGATATTAGGATCGATAACCTCGAACCTCGATGCCTCCTGGAAGACGGTTCAACCCCGCCTCGGGCTTCTGCTGACCCAGGTCAATGCAAACACGGGTCAGTCAGACTTTGAAGGAACCCGCAATATCCGTGCGCGCTAGCCCAGATCAACACAACTCTGGCTCTGCAGGATGCTGCAAGATCGGGCGCTCTGGCTGACCTCTGTTTGCTGTGCTTTAGCCCCCGTCCCTTCCAGCTCAGCCCCTAGGAGGAGAGATAGGAGGAGGAGGAGGAGGAGGAGGAGGAGGAGGAGGAGGAGGAGGAGGAGAAGGAGGAGGAGCAGGAGGAGGAGGAGGAGGGGGAGGAGGGGGAAAGGGAAGAGGAGGAGGAGGAGGAGGAGGAGGGAGGAGGAGAAGGAGGAGGAGGAAAAGGAGGAGGAGGAGGAGGAGGAGGAGGAGGGAGGAGGAGGAGGAGGAGGCTGTCCTTCAGGCGCTCCCCGGTGCACAGCACGTTCGCCGCGCCGTCCACGCCCTCTCCCGGCGGGTCGCCCAGCTCCTCGGCGAAAGCAAGGGCGCCCCGCGCGGAGGGGGGGGGGTACGGGCTCGGTGGCGCGCAGCATCGAGGACGTGCTCGGTGCAGGAACAAGGGGGCGGCGAACCGTCAAGGGAGGAAGGGGAAGGAGGAGGAGAAGGAGGAGGAAGAGGAGGAGGAGAGAAAAGGAGGAGGAGGAGGAGAAGGAGAAGGAAGAGGATGAGGAGAGAGGAGGAGGAGGAGGAGAGAGGAGGAGGAGGAGGACCACTGCAAACCGAAGACCCATCAACGATGTTGCAATCAACCTTCCCTTCAAACTCCCTCTTCATAGTCTCCTGTACGGATTCAAATATCCAGATAGGGAAATGCTCCGTTGGAAAACAACCGCTTGAACAGCAGGAGTTGTGCTAGAACGCCAACTCATCTGGGACTTCAACGACGCGAATCACCGATACTGTTGCGTTTTAGCGATCCACAATCACACAATAACATCATTCCTGGGACTTTAACACTGCGAATCGACGTAGCTGTTACGCCCTGACATTCCGACATGGTGCCAACACACCGTTCCTGGGACGTTAGCCGTGAGAATCCTCGAAACTTCTGTGAACTGTTGAAGCGAATGCGCGCGGCGTTAACGCGAGAACGACATGATGAAAAACAACCGCCCTCTGTCCGTGAAGTTTCTTGAAGAAACGAATGCCCGTGGCCGTGCCGAGGCGAGTGTCGCAATTTGAAAACGGACCGCCGTCCATCCGTGAAGCTCTTGCGATTGATGCAAAACAAATTTGCGCGACGCTACGGCGAGAACTGCATTTTGAAAAAAGGGCCGGCCTCCACCAGAGAAACTGTTGCGAATTTCAAACTTCTGGGTCATGAATGGCGCGGGAATGTTAGGCGAAACGCCTGGCGCGCCCTTTCGATTGGCCTCGGAGTGCAGCAGGGAGGAGCAACCCTTAAGGGAAAGGAGCGGGAGAGGAGGAGGCGGAGGACTAACTGACTGACTGAGCACTTGCGATCCATGACCTGCTCTATGGCTCAACCCTGTAACGAAGCAACCTGCTACGCATGCTAGATCTGTGACTCTAGTGACTGTAGGAGAGCCTGCCTAGCAGCCTCGCTGGGGGGCGCCTCTGGCTGACAGCGGGACCCCGCAAGAAGAATGCCGTGGGGCCCGCCTGCAGCGCCGCCCCATTCACGAGCGCTGCTCTGACATGGGGTCGTGATGCCTCTTCAGCTGCAAATCCTAGCTCAAACGCAACATGTTCCCAATCGATCAGGAACACGTGGGCAATCCCACCAGCCCTTTGGGCGTGAGTGGTTTAGAGGGCCCGCTCTGTTCTCAACCCCCCTTCTTCCCCTTCGGGGAGGGGTTTACCCCTCCCCCTACCCCCTACCCCTGGGCCTGGAGAGGGCGCCCCGCGGGTCGTCAGGGGGGTCAATGTTGACTCCTGGGAGGGCTAAAAAACGACACCCCTCACGAGGATTCTGGCCCCGACGGGGGGGGGGGGAGAAAAAACCCTTTTCTCTTCTTTGAAGCCAAAATCATTGATTTTACTACGGTGTCGGCCCCATTTTGGCCTTATGAGGGGGCAGCGCTCCTCTTCCTTCATAGCAAAATCATTGATTTTAAGAAGGTGTTGGCCTCATTTTGTCCTTCTCAGAAGGCAGCGCTCATTTGCGCTTCTGAGGAGGTCGCAAGAGGCCCCAAGATGGCCCCAAGAGGCCCCCAGGAGGCTCCCAAGAGGCCCCCAAGAGGCCCCCAAGAGGCCCCCAAGAGGCCCCAAGAGGCCCCAAGAGGCCCCCGAGAGGCCCCCAAGAGGCCCCAAGAGGCCCCCAAGAGGCCCCCAAGAGGCCCCCAAGAGGCCCCCAAGAGGCCCCCAAGAGGCCTCAAGAGCCTCCAAGAAGCCGCCAAGAGGCCCCACGAGGAGCCCGAACGACTCACACCAGGACGAGGGGCCCGAACGACTCGCACCACGAAGAGCCCGAACGACTCACACCATAAGGAGGGGCCCGAACGACTCACACCAGGACGAGGCGCCCGAGCGACTCACACCACGAGGAGCCCGAACGACTCACACCACGACGCGGGCCTCGAACGACTCACATCACGAGGAGCCCGAACGAGTGACATCAGGAGGAGGGGCAGCGCTCATACAAGCCCCCCAAGATGGCCCCCAGAGGTCCACCAGATGGCCCCCAGGGGTCCCCAGATGGCCCACAAGAGGTCCCCAGGAGGCACCACGAGCCCTCCAAGAGGCCCCCAAGATACCCCCAAGAGGTCCCCAAGAGGCCCCCAGAGGCGCCGACGACGCCCCAAGAGGCCTCCGAGCGGCTTCCACAAGACATCTACTACTACTACTTCTTCTCCTACGGTTACTACTACTTCTACTACTACTACAACTCATACTCGCTTGACTACATCATATCGTACTACTACAACTACAACTACTATTACGACTACTACCAGTTCTACTCGTACTACTATGAGTCCTACTACGACTAGAACTACTACTATTACTACTACTACTACTACTACTACTACTACTACTGCTACTACTATCACTACTCCTACTACTACTACTACGACTTCCATATAGACCACTGCTCTAGTGATTGCCTCTGCGACTGAGACAACTAGTGCGACGACGACGTTGACGACTACGTTTGCTACTACCGCTGATACTGGAAATACCACTACTACTACCACTACCACTACTACTACTACTACTACTACTACTACTACTACTACTCCTACTACTACTACTACTACTACTACTACTACTACTACTACTACTACTACTACTACTACTACTACTACTACTACTACTACTACTACTACTACTACTACTACTACCAGTACTACTACTACTCCTACTACTACTACTACTACTACTACTACTACTACTACTACTACTACTACTACTATTACTACGACTGATACTACCACTACTACTACTACTACTACTACTACTACTACTACTACTACAACTGCTACTCCTGATACTATTTCTACTACTACTACTACTACTACTACTACTACTAGGTCCCCCCCCCCTCGAGGGGACCCCCACCAAACCCCACGGCTAAGAGGAACCGCTCTCGTTGCCCCACTCCTCTTCCCCAATTAAGTTAAAGGACAAGAGTAGTGGTAAATGATGCAGAGGCTGGCGGCGGCAAAGAAAACATATGATTTCATATGTTTTTCTGATTTTTCTCGTCTGGGACGCAGGAAAACGTGTGATTTCATTGGTTTTTCTAGTTTTTCTGGTCTGGGGGCAAGGAAAACATGTGATTTCATTGGTTTTTCTGGTTTTTCTGGTCTGGGAAGCAGGAAAATATGTGATTTCATTTGTTTTTCTGTTTTTTCTGGTCTGGGGGCAAGGAAAACCTGTGATTTCATTGGTTTTTCTGGTTTTTCTGGTCTGGGGGGAAGGAAAACCTGTGATGTCATTGGTTTTTCTGGTTTTTCTGGTTTGGGAGCTAGATGTTACCAAACCAGCCCGACCAAAACAACGATAGCCTTCCCAGACCAGAAAAACCAGAAAAACCAATGACATCACAGGTTTTCCTTCCCCCCAGACCAGAAAAACCAGAAAACCAATGAAATCACAGGTTTTCTTTGCCCCCAGACCAGAAAAACCAGAAAAACCAATGAAATCACATGTTTTCCTGCTTCCCAGACCAGAAAAACCAGAGAAAACAATGAAATCAGAGGTTTTCCTGCTTCCCAGACCAGAAAAATCAGAAAAACAAATGAAATCATATGTTTTCTTTGCCCCCAGACCAGAAAAACCAGAAAAACAAATGAAATCACAGGTTTTCCTGTTTCCCAGACCAGAAAAACCAGAAAAACCAATGAAATCACAGGTTTTCCTTGCCCCCAGACCAGAACCTCTGTCCGAGTTCTCTGCGAGGTTGTAACGGTAGTTCTCTCGCATTTGAGCGGCTTTGCGCCAGCGAGGAAGGGGCGAGGAAGATACGAGGAGAGACAGACAACAGCGCCCCCGAACTACAGCTGACGGAAGAGAAGGAGGGGCGTAACGCTCCAGATCACCTTGGGGCGAAATGCTCCAGCCAGATGCGGGGCGAAATGCTCCAGGGGGCGGAATGCTCCAAATCACGTAGGGGCGAAATGCTCTAGCCAGATACGGGGCGAAATGCTCCAAGGGGCGTAATGCTCCAGATCACGTGGGGGCGAAATGCTCCAGATCACGCGGGGGCGAAATGCTCCAGCCAGATACGGGGCGAAATGCTCCAGGGGGCGTAAAGCTCACGCCAGTCGGAGGCAAAACAATTCCAGGCCAACGAGAGACGAAATGCTCCAGGGGAGCGCAGCAATACTGTTTTATCCTTATCTTGGTCCTCCTCCACTTCCGCGGTTCGTCCCTCTGTCCTCCCCCGCCCCCTCTTATTATCCTCCAGTCTCCATCGCTCCCGCCTTCTCGCCCCTCCTTCCTCATCCACACCAACTCCTTTTGTTTGTTGCAACGCATTCTGGCCCGAGCCTGCCTCGACGCAGAACTCGCGGCGCAGCTTCCACGCACCCGCACGGCAGCAATGCCGATGATGCTCCGCCTCGCCTCCTGGTGCGCCGCCAAAGCGCAACACCCCTTCCTCAACAAGCCCAACGCCGACATGACGGCGGCGGCGGAGCAGTGGGGCGTGGTGTGCGACGGGGTAAGCGGCGTCGCGCCCCGCTTCAACCCGGAGGACCTTTCTTGGGACCTCCGGAACTGCCTCCGCTTCTTACTCCGCGAGCGGTTCCACTGGGCCTGTGACAAGCAGGAGTTCGACGCCCAGGTGGTCCGCGAGATCGGCGGGGATGTGCGGAGCATGGCCACGGACGCTCCTGCGGCGTGGGCAGCGAGGCTCCTGCAAACAAACATAATAGCACACGCACACGCCGACATCAAACAACAAGCATGACAGAAAGCCACAAGCTCACAACAGCAGCCGTGCTTGATGAAAAACAAATCGTTACCGCTCTCCCTGTTTTCCTGGCCGCGACACCTTGGATTCTTTCGGTAAAACGGCCACTCAAACCAAACCAGCAACGCACGCACACACCAAACACAACAACACAGTAATCACAAGCCGCAACAACATAAAACTGCGAGGCTCCTGCATCTCGCCATCCAGACCACTACGCTGCACGGCTCCACCACGGTCGGCTTCTTTTCGGCGACCGGCACCAAGATGTCCTACTGCCACATCGGGGACGTATCCATCCAGGTGTGGCGCAGGTCGGCCCTCACGGGAAGCTACACGCGCTGCTTCATCACCAGAGACCACCACGTCCGCATCGCCACGGAGTCAGGCGAGGTGATGGGCCCGAAGCAGGTTTCGTTTTTCCCTGGCGTGAACAGGGCGGGCGACGACTTGGAGCGCTCCGTGGCGCAGGCCGACTACGGCGTTGTCCAATTGAGCAAGGGCGACATCATTATATGCTGTTCCGACGGCATCACTGACAACGTCCCGTACGATGCCATGAAGTTCGTGCTCACGCGCGCAGATTCCGACGCGCAGGCCGCGGCCGAGCAGATGATCGAGTGCGCGCAGATGCGCAGCGCGCCCAAGCCCGACGACATCTCGATCGTAATCGGCGTCGTCGGGGCTGTGTGAGAGGGCGAAGGCCATGAAGAATGCCTTCCGCACCCTCCTCGTCGTCCACCTCCTCCACCGCCCTCACCTCCACCTCGCCCTCGTCATCGTCATCGTCGTCGTCGTCGTCCTCCTCCTCCTCCTCCTCGCCCTCCTCGCCCCCCTCCGCTTCCTCGCCAGCATCCGATCGGCCCCGTGGGCGTACTGGCACGCCAACGAGGTGCATCTCGACCGCCAGAGACCCGAACGAGAGCCACGAGCTCCATAAATCAGCCGTGCTTGATGAAAAAACACATCATTGTCGTTATTCTTACCGCCGTCCCCGCGGGACCTGGATTTCCTTCGGCAAAAGGGCCACTGCCGCAACCGACGCGTGCATCCCGACCGCCAGAGACCCGAACGAGAGCCGCGAGCTCAAT